CACACTGCCATTGCACACTGGCATTGCACACTGCCATTGCACACTGCCATTGCACACTGGCATTCCACACCCTGCCATTCCAGGCCAAAGGCAGAGCCGTTCAGGAACCCTTGGAGCAGCAGAGGTAGAAGAGGGATACCAAGGGAATTCAAGGCATGTGTTAACATTCAGGATCTTGAGCAGAACACTGGGGCAAACGATGGCAAACAGGAATGTTAGCCTGAGGTGAACACATGCAGCAGAATACAATGAGCTGTCATTCATTCACTTTACTTCTATTTTTCCATTTTAATTTCCAAATGGGCACCTAATTTTAAAAGGATCCTGCTCCTTGATCCTCTCTATGATTTTCCAAAACTAGATGACTTCCTTGGGGTGTGTTCATGAAGAGAAGTGTAGTTTAATTTTTTCATTCATGTTCAGTTTTTGAAAGATCAGTGAGTAAACAACATATATTTGCACATCTATCAATTTGGGGGAAAAATCTGAAGTATTTAGTAATTATGATATTATAGCTGTGATGATGTAGGGATTAAGAAAGAATGATTTTATAGCTGAAAACTGAATGAACAAACAGATGCTCAGCAGATAAAAAGTTGTCACTAAAATATAAAGTCAATCTGGTACATTCTAACTAAAATCAGACATATTTAGCTATTTGCCTTGATAAAACACAGTGATTACCTATCCTTACCATAGGTCTTTTTCAGTTTAGTGCTTATTGCAACACACTGTTCATTAGTGGGAAGTCATCAATCTCTCTACACTAATCCTTGGTTGATGCATGGCTGTGTGTGGGAACAGAATCTACTGGCTGACCATGGTTATGATCCTTCAGCTTTTTACAGCTTAAAAAGCAACGTGTACTCACGAGTGTTCACAGCTAAACTACTCCATTTCATCTATTCTTCTACAAATCTTATTATTAGCTGGAGTTTGATTTGCTAAATTATAAATTGAGTTGGAATTTGGAAGATTTATATAGTACTTGCATGCCAATTGCAACCTTAACTCTTGGTTCACAAAGTTCTCCTTTTGGTGCTACATATCTTTTTCAGGCAGTCATCTCAAGACATTTAACACAAAAAAAATGGGAAATACTGCATGGTTTGAGTAGGATATACCAGCCTTTGTAATTACAAAAAACCCCAGGGAAGTGCAAATGAATATTTCTACACATTTTCTATGAACAAGCAAGCTAAACCAAGTGAAATAATAATATAACTATGAGAACATAATCCCACCATTGGAATTCCAAGAATAAGTAACCTACATTCCATTTTTTTCTCCATTCCACACAAATTCTCTTGCTAATCTTCCATGACATTTCCATCTAGAGAGGAACTGTCACAGGAGTACAAAACATACATGCATAAGAATCAGAAAAATCAAAATGAAGAATGTACAGATGGAATAACCAGACTTCCCCATTCTTCAGACCACACTTGATCTCCCCAAGTTAGAACCAGACGTGTCATGAACTCAGAGTTCCTGACTCCATTTGTGCTCCAGAAGGGGAACGTGTCAGGTGGATTCAAATACTGCTCTTTTTACAAGAACAAAAGCAGTCTTCTTCATTCTCCCTGTTCTATTTAGGTAGTTTCCTTTCTTGCTCTGACAGTCATGTCCACATACAGTGGACAATGTGGCCCATAAATGGCAAGATTTATTTGATATAACTGACTATGTGTTTATTGTGCAATTCCACATGCTAGAAATACTCAGCATTTTTACTCTTACTTAACTTTTCTGATTTGCTCAGTTGAACCCTCTTAGAAATGGAATAGAATATTTCAGATTTTGAACAGAACACTTGCTTATCACCTAAAATCAAATTATTTGCAGTTCTTGAAGAAAAACATCCGTGTTTATCACTATAACTGTCAGCACAGAATGGACCTATTTTTAAGTTTGGGATGCATAATAAAGAAAAAAATTTAAAACATCTACATGCATTAAAGAAATGCAGTTAAATCAACAATCTAAGTATGTTGTTGTATTTTATGCTCTACTGTAGTGAAATGAAATTTAAAAAATAAGCTGGAGGTTAAAAACTTTTCTAAAACCCATGGCTACAGACATCTCTGGCATTATGATAAATGCTAGTAACTGAACTTAATTAAAAAAACCTTATAAATTCAAGACAATAATTAATGCTACGTGTAAAGAAAGAACACCAAGTGACTGAACACGATAGTTTAGCACAGAGCTACAATTAAGGTCTTTCTTTATCTGCTGGTCTCTGCTGCACACAAGGAAATCCCAACAGACATGGGTTACTGTCACCCTCCTGCAGCTTTGGGTGACCTGAGGAGACATTCCCTAATCCTTCCCTCACTGCAGAGGATCCTGGCTCTGGAATGGCCCAGAGAAACACTCTACACATTTAGCACATCATGAGGAGAGAGGTTTGGAGCGAGACACGTATGGACAGAGAGGGAAGGCTGTAAATTATTGAATACTTCAGGAATTATGACTGTTACTAAATGACTGCCCAGTTAAACATCTGTATCTTTTGTAAAGGGAGGTGATTTTGGAGCAAAGCCATATTAAAACAGAATGCTGAAATCAGCTTAAAGAACCCAAGAACTCTTCTCTCTTAACAGGTCTATGCCATAATATTCACAAGTATCTGTAAAGGTACATTCTTCACAATCGAGATAAACATTTTGTCACAGCTTTCTGCTACTAATAAACAAACTAATCAGATAAATTGGATAGGCTTAAACATGCTGCAATATAATAAAGATACCCATGAACACTTTTAGAGAGTGTCGGTACTTCAATGTGCTTCTGAGGAAAAAATCTCAGAATATATATATTTTTCATATGATACTTTCAGACAGACTAGGTGGCAAAACAATTACAAAATTTTGACTTGCTAAAGGCATCACTTTATTTTCTCTCTTACTCTTGATTTTTTGTAAAGCTTGCATTTAAAAATTATTTGTAATAAACAGAAAAAAAAATCTCCTTCAAACAGCACTAAATTAGGTATGTCTCTACATAACACAACAAAAGTCAAAACCAACATTCCAAATTGAATGTATGTTGTACATCTCGGTTACTGCTAAAGTACATATTACCTTTATTTTTGTAAATTATTTGCATCACCTTAAACATTAGTTTCTCTGAGAATTGCTGCTCCTTGTAAAACTACAAAAAAAAAAAAAAAAAGAAATGGTCACATTCTACTTTCTTAAGGTCATAATATAAATTGTCACTCTGGTTACTATAGAAACAGAGTGGATTTCATCATTTTAATGCATGCAGTGATAATTGTTCTTATTTCAGTGTGTGGCTAGGTAGTTAATGGTGCCAGCTGCAGTTAGCACAGACACAGACTATTGTCATCCAAGCACAAGGCTGCTCTCTCCTGTTCTGTCACTGGGAGCTTTCCTGACCATCAGCACTTCCTAAGGGAATGTTCAGGCACAACCAAGAGCTGTTCACAGGCCTCTGCTCTGTGGCTGAAACAGAATTCCCTGCAGGAATTATGCTTTCACATGAAAAACAAATAAATATGGCACAGCATAGAGAGCTTCTTCAGATTATCCATTCAGGTCATTCATTCAGTCAGAAAAACTGTTTTCTCCATAATAGCTTCTAAAATTTGGGTTGCACTGAGAAAAGGTTCAGCTGACATCCTGCCTGTAGTGCAAGCTTTCCCTAGGACAGCCAAGTGCCACAAGTTTACAGCACAGCTCTCTGTGTAACTGTATATTTTAACCCTATTATAAACACATCAACAGGTGCTAAGTAAATGCAAGTACTGCAGCTATTACATGTCTGCTCAAATTTAGGCTCATTTAGAATATGCAAGTGAAAGCAATATGGGATGAGACCACCACTATTCAAATTCCAATGTCATCCAATTTCAACCCAAAATTAGGTTGCATGAGTTTTAAAGTTGATATACTCTAAAACAAGCAGTTACTGGTCCCACAGAACATTATGACAAGCAGAGATCCCTGGTGGTTTGGGATGCCACCTTTCCTAACACACAGCCACACACACTGGCTTGCACCAGCAGTTTTCTTACACATATTATATCACAGCTGAGCTTTGTATCAATTTAGGAAGTGCACCAGGATTTTAGTTCCTCTGGATCTTTATTTCACAAAATCATAAAGTGGTTGAGGTTGGAAGGGACCTCTGGAGGTCAACTTGTCCAACCCTCCTGCTCCAGCAGGATGAGCTAGAGCAGACCACGTCCTGATGCCTCTTGTGTTATCTGGCCAACAACCTCTGCTCTTTCTTAGTGTACAGTTAATAAGGAATAACCACCATGAGTGTCACTAAAAGTATTGTTATCTCTTCTACTAAGATTTGGCTTGAAACATGGAAGATTTATTCCCAATCAGTTATTCTCAGTTCATGTTAATTTGGTTATAATTAATGGAAGATATGGGAAATATTATTTTTTGTAAGAGATGCAGCTGAAGTGAATTTTAAATATTAATGAGCTTATTCTTTATAAGGATAACTGCAATGCTTAAAGTAGATAACTCAAGCAGACAGATGCTTTTCTTAGAATGAAGGTGCTTCAAATCAATAGGTTGACAGGTTAACTACAAAGCACTATTTGCTGTACTTAGACTTCCTTGCACAACACTATAAAATACCTAAATTGTACACGGGATCGGGCTTCCCTCTGACATATGTCTGTGCAATTTGGTTTTGAAAGTCTCTCAGAAACCAATACTGTATGAAAAGCAATTGGCTTTTCTTGTCAGAGTTTTTTCTTTGCCCAATCTAGAACTGACAAAAATGTTGTAATGAATTAGAGCAGCACATCACCAAAAATAGACATTTATGCAAAGTACTATGAAAACTGAATTATGGCTCAAATTATACCTGGAAATGCCTGTTTAGAGGTCCCATTTGTGAACACAGAAAATTCTAACAGACAAAATGTTGATGATGCTATAATTTGTGAATGCCAGTAATGACATTAGCTGTTGCTGGACACATAATACCACATAACTCCTGTACAGTTCTTTCATTAATCGTTTCTCCTCAGATCCTAAGAATTGTATTGTATGGATTCTTAGTCTGGAAATTTTATGTAGTGTATCCCTGTATGTCTCTGACTACTGAGTATTTCCCAATTCCCCAGGGAATCCTCACTCTTACTCATACATATGTACATACATATCCTACTTATTTTGTATTTAGGTCACATCAGCTCTGCACACACAGCAGCACCAAACAGGTCACCATATGTCCAAAAATTCCACATATATTTGTTATGTGTGTACATTCTGAAATGTATTTGATTCACTACAGTGAACGTATATGTTTGTTTGGAAATACAGGAACCACAATTAGAATTTTATCAATGTGTCAGAACACAGTGAGCTCAGTGCCTTGGGGAAGTGTCAGATGTACTGCATGTGTGCTCCAGAGTGCACACACACACACACACCTTCCTAGTAAATCTCTGGCAAATGTGATAGCCTTGTATTTTCTGAAGGGTGGGTTTTTTGGCAGACAGCCAGGCTGGAAAGATTCTGCTGGAGCCCTATAAGCTATATTTGGTAATAACTCACTTCCCAGCAAGCATATATAAATACACGTGAGAGGAAAAACAAGGTTCTTAACTCACCCATTTGAAAAGAGCCCAGTGGAAAGAAAACCCAGAGTGTTCTCTGCAAAGCTGGCTCACTGCATAGAGTTGGAAATGGCTGTGACTGATTCCTGCCCTTCAGGCCCTGGCACACTTGCCCACAGCTTGGCTCATTCGCTCAGGATGGGCACTGGGCTGGCACTGGGAGCAGGAACAGAGTAGGATCAGAGAAGTAGGGTTGATTTTTTTTGTAACAAGTGTTTGCTTTGAGCAAGTATAGCTAAAATAAATAGACCACAATAGGAAGAGAGTAATTTAGGCATGTTTCAGTAGTCAACTTAACTCTCATAATACTTTGTTAAGGATAATGTTAAATACTTCACCTTCATTACAGCATATCACAATATACTGTTTCCTAACTTGAACTCCATCAGAATAGACGATGTGGCAAAAAGATATATGAGAACTAAGTAAGAACAAATTACATAGAGTGATATAAAGAACAGCAGTACAATCAAAATTTGGAGAGCAACAGTCCAGCAAAAGTGGCATTTTTTTCATATTCCAGATATCAAGCAGTAATATCAACCTTGTGAGCAAAACTAAAGCATGTAAAAAACCTGTAACATTTCAAGACAAGTCATCTATGCAATTACAGCATTTTTTTATGATGAACAATACAATCCTACATGGCTGAAAGAACTCAAAGAGAAACCACTTAGAAAAAGTTCACTAGAAAATACTTGTGTAGCTCATATTTGAGCTACTTACATGGGATAGCATCTCAGATTAATTTCAGGGAAAGTAGGGGAGAGAATCTGTTAGAGGGTTAATTAAATATGCAACTTCAAAGACATTATCCTGGGATCTGGTTTTGGCTCCCTGCTGCTATATGGGACAAGAAGTCTCTTACACTCTTCTACCTTTTGTGCTCGTACCAGCACAGAGTAGTGATTTAAGGTCCTGACTGGGAAAGAAAAAAAATAATTATTATTCAGTCAAACAACTGTTCACCAACTTTATGGTATTTACATATAGGTTAGTTAATGAATAGTGACTACTTGAATTCTTTCTTGAGCCTTCTTGGGACACCAGAGGAGGTCTTCCCAGAACAGTGCAGACAGCATGGGGAAAGATGCAGTTCTTTTGAAACCCAGTACAACTGCCCTGTCACTGGCACCTTGAAATAGAGCCTCGTTCTGTTTCTTTACAGCCTCCCTTCAGAGATTTATGCACACTGATGTGGTGCCCCCTGAGCCTTCTTTCTTCTTGGCAAACAGCCTCAGCTCTCTCTGCCCTTCCTGCCAGCACAGCCAGGGCAGTGCCCTCACTCTCTCCATGGCTGGTGGCTGGACACTCTCCAGCAGCTCAGTCCCTCTCTTGGTGTGGGCAGTGCAGAACTGGACACTGGGCCCCTGGTGCTGCTTCAGCTGTGCTCATCCAGGCACCCAGTGATGGTGAATTCCTCAGTGATGGTGAATTCCTCAGAATGCAGTTCAGTGGCAGACAATGAGCTCTGATCTCCTTCACTCATTTCTTTCCTGTAAGTACATTTCTAGAGCTCACAGTACACTCAATAGGAATGTTTAGACACTAATATGGAACACTTCCAAGCCACACTCCCTGTACAGCTATTAGAGAGGGACTGAGACAGGATATTACTTATTAACAACATTTTAATGTAGGCTGCCTTGTTCAGCAAAGTAAATTCGGTCTGGGAAGAAACGTTCCCCTATCAGCTCTTAAAATGGTTCAGGTAATATTCCACCTGATCAAAGACTGGCCAGTTTGCTCCTGACCACATCCTTCTCTCTTCTGACCCTGAATGCAGTGAAACACAAGCCTGCAGGCACATGCTAGAGTAAAAATATTTTTGGATTTTTAATCCCCTGGCTGGATACAGCCATATTAAATATAGATTACCTTTTATGACCAGAGATAAAACTAAATGAAAAAAGGAAAAATGTCACTGAATAAAAGAGAAGTGTGGCAATGAAGGTATATCAGATCTTGTAGATAACACAGTACAGAGAAAGATAATGTATATGTTTATCATATGAAGCAGAACAACGAAGATAGTGTTTCTGGTGCACATAATTAAATTTTAATAGTTTATAAATATATTCTTAGTCTAAATCCATGACTAAACCATCCCCAAATTTATGGAGCCTTGTTTTAAAAAGTCCTTTATACAAAATGAAATTCAAGCAGTGTAATCTCAGGTTATACAGTCATGTCTTAGGATATAGAGAAAATGTAATAATTTTCCATTAAAAAAAATTTAAAACTCAGTGATATTTGTACTAAATATGAAAAACTTCAGTTCCTTTGGCCTTGTAAAACAAAACATTATTATTGTATTGAAGAATTCAAAATGCAACTTACTTTTATAAATAGTACGACAAGCTGGTCTTCCAACTAGGTTTTCACTGTACTGGTAGAATCAACAAATTAGAGTATTCCCATTATAATTTTAAGTATGTTTATTTGGCTTTGCATTGAGGTTTCAGGATTTTTATGGATAAAATTGATGTTTTCTAGAAGCACATTTGCCTTTAACATGGAACTACAGATCAAGCAAAGCAGT